CAGATTTGTCAGGCATGACCTGCCCTTGATGAAGACATGCTGACTTTGCCCTATTTTACCATGCACTTCCAAGTATTCAGAAATCTCATCCTTTACTGGACAAGTAATTCAGGAGCCTGGATTAACGATTAGGAGATATAAATTCAAACCCAAACATAACAGTTGAGGAATTAAAACACAGATAATTACAGAAATTTGAATTAAAAGGGCTATTATAAATAATGATGACAAGGAAACAACCAGATTATCATAAAACCTCCCTATTTCGCTGATGCCCTTTAGAAGACAACATCTGCTGTGCTTGAGATAGTAGGAACTGCAGATGCTGGAGAATCCAAGACAACAAGGTGCAGAGCTGGATGAACACAGCAGGCCAAGCAGCATCATAGGAGCAGAAAGGCTCACATGACTCTAGAACCACAGCATCATGAAGCAGAATCTAATGAAGGCAACAGGGTTCTTGCTCACTCATTAGAGAACTCATGGATGTATTTGTACGACAGAAAATTGGCCAAGAGGCAGCCATTTATGTGACAACTGATCAAGGAGAACTCAGAGATAGAGTAAGTGGTCAAGGAACCACATGTCAAGGAAATGTATGTTGCTGAGTAACCAATTAAAGGACTCCCAGTAGAAGATTTCGTAAGATATCTATGCGCATAGCAGAACACAAAAAGAAGACAGAATCCATTGAGGTCACTTGCATTGGTAAGAGAACATTGTTTCATACAGTCAGCAGGATGGAAATCTGAAACAACATGGGGGTGACAGAAATTATTTCCACTCCTATTAATACTAAAGAAAGTTCAGGTGATTAAAGTCAGCATAGTTCATGAGAAGATGCAAACGGTGAGAAAATTGATGAGCCATATGATCCATTTCAGCATCAAGTAAAGTAATGAGCAATCCTCAGATAAGTTTGAGCATGTAGGATTTACCAGTGAAGCAGCCACAGGGAGTAAATATAAATGTTCACCCTGAAAACACGTTGAAGTATGAAGTCTGTGACCCTCAGCACAGTTTTACTGGCAGATTGAGAATAAGCATTTGTTCACACAGATTGAAAATGGGATGCATACGACATGCTAAAACCCACTACAGAGATAAAACAAACAATTTTCACCGATTCAGAACATGGTCAAGAAGAAATTGCCTGGTTTAAAGTTCTAGGATACTGGTAATAAAAAATTTCCTGGCGCAGGGTTTCAGCAGAGCAATTGTCTTGCACAAAGGACATTCATGAAATTAAAGGTCCCTCAGATGAAATTATGAGATAATTACCTGTGTCAGCAGAAAACAGTTCCTCTGTGAAGGAATTTCAACAGATTAAGGGTCCTTTGTTTGAGATAATGGACCAGTTGCTTTGTACAGCTGCGACAACGTGCTCCACAAAAGGTGTCCAGAAGGACCTCCAATGGGGATAGGCAGATCTCATTGGATCCAGAACAGAATCAAAGTCAATACTCCTCAAGTCAAACCTCCACCATAGAGTCATACAGCACAGAAACAGACCCTTCAGTCCAACTCGTCCACGTCGACATCCCAATCTGACTTGGTCTTATTTGCCAGCATTTGGCCCTTGTCCCTTTAAACCCTTCTGATTCACACACCCATGCAGATGCCTTTTAAGTCTTGCCATTGTTCCAGTCTCCACCACTTTCTCTAGCAGCTCGTTCCATACACACACCACCCTCTGCATGAAAAAGTTGCCCCTCAGGTCCTTTTTAAATCTTTGCCCTCTCACCTTAAACTAATGCCCTCTAATTTTAGACTCCCCCACCCTAGAAAAAAGACCTTGGCTATGTACCTTATCTGTGCCCCCCATGATTGTATAAACCTCTATAAGATCACCCCTCACCCTTTGACGCTCCAGGGAAAAGTGCTCCAGCCTATTCATCCTTTCCACATAACCCAAACCCTCTAGTCCTTGCAACATCCTTGTAAATCTTTTCTGCACCCTCTCAAATTTAACAACATCTTTCCTTTGGAAGAGCAACCAGAATCGTATGCAATATTCTAAAAGTGGCCCCAACAATGTCTTGTACAGCTGCAACATGACGTGCTAATTCCTATAAACTAATCTTCCTAGTTTAAAGATAATTCAGAGACAACAAGGTGCAGAGCTGGATGAACACAGCAGGCCAAGCAGCATCATAGGAGCAGGAAGGCTGACGTTTCGGGCCTAGACCCTTCATCAGAAATCCAATTGCCTGGTATCAAAACCATTCAAATCTCATTTCTGAAGAAGGGTCCAGGCCCGAAATGCCAGCCTTCCTGCTTCTATGATGCTGCTTGGCCTGCTGTGTTCATCCAGCTCTGCACCTTGTTGTCTCAGATTCTCCAGCATCTGCAGTTCCTACTATCTCTTAAAGATAATTCATTTTAGTATTAAAGAGAAGTTTGTAGATGGGACCAGGCATGGAGTCATCGTACAGCTGTTACAGCAGTTATTTTCTTTCCCCAAAAATAAACAATTTCTAATGAAGAAGTGCCAGGGAACATGACAATAATAATCACCGAGGTCACTGTTCCAGAAGCTGATGTCAAAGAACTAAATTATACTGTACGTACTCTATTATCAATGCAGTGTTTATGAAAATAAAAGTTTTGGTTGCAAAAAGAATCAAACTAATCTTTCGATGATAGTGGGAAATAGAGCCACTGTTATCCTGACATTATGAGTAGTTGTCCCTATGCATTGACTAGAAGGATTCAAATGGGTGATTGACATTGAGTAAACTACCAGTCCATAGAAATTGGGGATATCAACAAGTGCTCAGGGTCAGAGGGCTGTCTTCATCAGGGAGCAGACTTCATCAGGGAGCTGTCTTCTTCAGATGGAAGATAGACTAGAAGAGATTGAGGGAAGACCCAGAGTTAAGTTCCCTAAAACTTTAGCTGGAGACCAGGATGCTTCCTTCACAACTTACCAATGGTTGACTGCTTATATTAGGTAACTGTGGACCTAAACTCCCCAAATCTACCAATTTGGAAATAAGTTTCAGGGAGATATCATGTAAAATAATAATTTTGAAAGGATTAATGCTGAAGACTGCATTAAGTTCCTTCAAACTGGTGATGTCAGAAGGACTTGAGTTGGGAATGGCAGAATATCCTAGGATCCTGAGGGGACAGACCTATTATCTTAGGTCTCTCAATAGTCTTAATAACAATGTCTATCTTCCCAATGTACCATCTAGTTGATAGTTCATGCAGAAAAACTATGTCTTGTTTAAGACAAGATTGTCTTCTTATTAGACGAATGAGAGATTTTACTCTATTACTTTACATCACGTAGATCCTCTTGACCCAATCAGAGCCAGAGAATGGCACCAGCAATCTACTCAATCACATGTTGGTGGTGGTTGACATTGAATGCTCATATGACAGCCATCCCTGAGTGTACGGTGTCCATAGACACAGCATAGATACAGACACAGCAGAGGTTACAACACATAAAGGAGTCAAGAAGGAATGGTTCTGGGAGTTTTCAACATTGACTCTAGACTCCATGAAGTCTCATGGCATCAGACCAAACATGGGAAAAAGATGTCTTTTATTGATCATTACCAACTGCCCTCTCCTTCCTGGTGAAGAATCATTAGTCTTCCAAGTTGAACACTAATCAGAAGAAGCATTGAAGGAAGCAAGATCACAGAATGTATTCTAGGTAGGGGACTTCAATGTCCATCAGTTATTGTGGCTAGGTAGCAGCAGTCATAACTACACTGTGCAAATCCTTATGGAGATATTTAGCACAGAGGGCCTGTGGCTGATGGCAAGAAAACCAACATGATCAACACCTATTTGACCTCATCCTCACTAGACAGTCCACCACAAATGCAGTTGTCCACGGCAGTATTGATGATTACCACACAGTTTTTGCAGAGGTTAGGTCTCATCTTTGCATTAAGCATCTACTCCACAGGATGTATGCCACTTTCACTGTTCTAAATGGGACAAACTTGATGGATCAAACTTGGGCATCTATAAGGTGCTCTGGGTCATAGGAAGCAGCAGAACTGTATGCTCATGACCCGCTGTATCTGTCATCTTACCTTCAAATCAGACAATCAGCCCTGGTTCAATGAGGAAGGCAGGAAAGCAGTGTCAGATGTCCCTAAAAAATATGGTGTCAACTTGGTGAAGCTGCAGCACAACTAAACAGCAGAAGCAACATTGATAATCAGAGCAGCGGAATCTCACAACCAACAGGTCCATACACAGTAGGGAATGGTGGTGGTCGATTAAGTAAGGTGAAGGTAAGGACAGACCTTGTGCTGAAATAGTTATCCTGTTTGCATGTAACAGGCACTGGTTGCATCCAGGGCAAAATAGACATTGGGTCTCCTCTTTGTAAATGCAAAGTGCCTAACATCCGGTTCAGGTATGGGTCCTGGACACTTGTACTGAAGCCTTTACCAATATGGTGGCAGTGGACAGCTGGCATGGGTTGCACGTGTAAGTGCATATTACTTACTTATGTGCCCATATAGCACCTGTACAACAGATATGGTACTAACTAATTCCTAGACTCATAAATTGGATATAATATGGACCGTTAACAAATACAACAGAAGACAGCCCGTGAGAACGCCCTGGTAAAAATTGTTTGTTTCATTCATTGGATCAACCCTGTGGAATAAGGTATTAGCAATCACTGTCACCTAAGACAGTGATCATTCCCATGATCATTTCTAATGCTATTGACTAGGATTGACTGTACCTGAATCTGACGTCTGTGACGCATTGACTTTTTAGTTTTAAAGGTCAGTTGATCAAACCATTGTCAATGATCATCCAACTATAAAAGAATTTGAATTCTAATTATTTGGGAATGTTAGTTTTACTCATTGTTCAGTAAAATATTAGAATAGATGGCCATGACTGGATCTAACTCACACAATAAACAGGCACCAGAGGTTAAAATGTCAGTGAGAATTGCAAACACCACAATATTTACACCATTATACAAAACCATCAGAAAGTTTGAAAATTACCTGTAATAGCTCTCAAGTCTCAGTTCAGTTCTAGCAGTTCAATATGGGCGGTTCGCATCTTTCGGCCTCTTGAGCTGTACTTTCAGTCTCTTCATGCCAATCTGAAAACCATTCATTGCCTGGATGGCAGCCTGGGCACTGGCAGGATTGTCAAAACTCACAAAACCTGCCAAAAACATTGGTTTTACAACTTCGTGGGCCAGGAAGAACTAATACAACAGTTCATGCTTGTATTGCACCAAAACTTTGCATTAACCCTTTGTTTTCACCAGCATGTTTTCCATTTAAAAGATATTTCCAGACTTAAATGGAAATGTTCACTGGGGAAGCCAAAGTGCTTAATCTCTGAAGCGTTCAAGTCCCACAGATTAAAATATCATGTTTACAATTTTATTTAACAATCTTTTGCCTGGTAATCACAATCATTTTATATATAGGCTGGACCAAGTTAATTTCCGATCGGTTTTCTAAGCTTTCCAGTCTGCAAATGAGTAGAATTTAGCTAAAGGTGTGGCTGCCCCTTTTAAGATTGAGATCAATGCGAATGTGGAAGTCTGATATTCATGTTATTGCTGCCATAATTTCATCTGGAGGAGTTTCTGTTTCTGATCATGAAATCTAAATCTGACTGATGGACTGAGGAGGGTAATGGAGCAAGAAACAAAGAAGAAAATGCAGTTACAAAGCAAAATGAGTTTCAAATTACATCTAGGGAGGAGGAAAAGGTGTTGCAAACTAATTTTGTTTTTGATGGTAAATATTGCCTCAGGGATCAGAAATCAATCTGGTCCAACCGTACATGGTTGTAATATAAAATCTTATCACTTTATTTCAGGGTGTGCAGAGATGAAGAACATTAATCAAAGTTTATTTTGCTCAAACTGGATCAGCAAAAACCAGAAACTTGGCCGTAGTTAGAAATAAGGATTGGTCACTGAACTGAGAAAAACTGAGCTTCATTGGTGAATGTGATCCTTTACTAAAAAAAAATTGATTTAAATATTCAATCTGACTCTTACCTTTTAAATAGTGTTGATGCTTTATTCTGTTTTTTTAAAAAAAGGCATTTTAAACCAGGGCTGCATCAGGAAGTGTATACCAAACATTATATAAGATTTCTGAAACAAGCTCATATACCTTGTTATCACAACCCAACCAATCCTCTATTTGCAGATTGTGATTCGAATGAACAGTATTTTAAAATGAAAACTATTCTGCCTTATATTCACAGCTAGTTATAAACATGCAGGATTATTGTTAAAGTTATAGATGATTAAGAGTAAATAGAATGGCCTCAGTGCAATCCAACTAATAGTCTCATATTTTGGCTTTAAAACCTGTTTTGTGTGTGTGATTCTAACACTCTTTAATTGATTAATTGGCTAGAATTCTGCTAAAGTAAGAAGAAAATAAAAGTAAATTGACACATTGGGAAAGGGCTGTTAAATCAACTTCAACTAATTAAGTTTATTGCTTTACTGAGTGGCTGTATTAAAAATAACATATTAATGGACAGCATAGATCACTAATACAGAGATTCCAACTTCATCCTAATTTTATTATTAGTTTAAAGAGTCAGACATTACAAAGTTGAGACTTTGTAACTTTCAAAAATGAATAGTCACCACAATTAACATCACAATATGCAGTGACACACAATTACATTCGATAGAAGTCTTGTACCTTCATCAAATAATGCAACAGTGTGTCTTATACTATTGTGTCCCAGAGTTGTGCATTTACTTCATTTTTTTTGCTCTGGAAAATTAATTTGAATACATTGCATTGAGCATAATGAGAAATCATGGGCTTCAGAAGTGGTGTAGCCAAGAACCTCCCCCACATACATAAGAAGATCAAAACACAGGCGCGGACCTACTCGTAGAATTGTGAATTTCAAATCCTTACATACCGTTTAACTTGATTAAACATAGAGGAAAAAAGTAGGCCATTTGGCCCATCGAATTTGATCATCCATAGAAAGATGTTTGAGAATGGACACAATGAACAATTCTTTTACAAATGTTACACAAAATTGGCTTGGGCAATATTCAAATGTCCTTGGTGGTTGCCTTAATGAGGCAACGGGTCCTTTCATGTGTCAATGAGGAATCTAAGACATGTTTAAGGACCGTTCTGAACCTGGACAGAATCTGAGCAGAGCATCACTGGTTTAAGTTCCACACAGTTTCTGCTGTCGTCCTACCAGTGGTTCTTAAAGGCACTCCTGGAAGTGAGTATTTTTTAAACGTTGTCTCAAGGACGCACCAGAAGAAGAAGTAGAAATGTTCATTCTTGCTTGGTAGCATGACTGAGGGCCTACAGCCTCACACTGATCTCCCATAGTACTTCAGCACCTTCATGTTGGCATTGGTCCAGAGGAAACCAGTGAGCTGCCTGAGGAGCTTTGGACATGTGGCTGCAACTGAGATTGAGTCAATGAGTCCCATTGCCCAATTATGAATGTTGACATCATGAACTTAAATATTTCCATTATTATTTTACAGTTGAAGGGGGATCTTTTTTTAACCTGACAAGGTGGGTAGGTATGTGAGTAAGCAACAATTTAAAAATTCTGAACCCCCCAACTTTTGCTTTAATTCTGAGCGTGATATGCAGCGTGTGGGAAATCATGAGCGACAGATATGTCTGTGACTTAAATGTGGAAAATGTGAATTATCTGCTCATGTAACCCTGAATTCTGCCTTTCATTGTGCATTGGTTTCCTGGGCTGTCAGGACCCCACTAAGGAGAGCAAAATGTGAAGATTTGAGTCGGCCGAAAAAGTGATAATTATTACTGAGGTTTGGCATCACTTTCCTGTCTTGGCGAAAGACAGGACTTGTTCTGAGAATGTGCTTTCACTGCTTTGAAGGCCATCTCTACAACTTTGGAGTCTATCCTAATTCACTCTCCAGCTATCAATTTTCAGATTAACTTGGGAGCTGCTTCTGTAGCTGTACTTTGAACCTCAGATGAGGAATTTGGGCAGCATTAAAACTATATTTACCAGGATAAACAATCATCTACATTTTTAACACTCATGGACCCAGTCAGAGAAATGGGCATTTGCTGTTCTGGTCAGATTCCCTTAGGTCCAGGAAATCGTTGTCTGCACAATCAAGGCACTCTCAGATCATTTAAGTATTTTATCAATGATGGAGGGCGTGGGGTGTTCCACTTTACCAACATTCAGCTGGCCTGCACCACTGAAGGATCGTTTGCGTATGCCTGGGAAAAATTACCACATGGTGATACCGAGTGAGTAAATGGTGAGGACTATTATCTGAAGATCTGGTTGACAGTAGCTGGGAGCAGCCCAAACACTGAGTCAGGGAAGTAATAACTGAAGCCATTTGGGCAGCAGCATTGTATTTGAGCAAGCAATTAGAATGATGAAGGTGCAATTTGGGAACCTGGACAGATTTGGGGCCTACCCAGGGAGGGTTTCCAGAATTGATTGGTGATCTGTTGATATGAGCTTCAGGAAGAAGTTGGTGAGGACCACGTTGTATGAAAGGAGCCTGGTGTGATGAAGGCACCTGTAACTGCCTGTGAATGTCTGATACAGATATGCTTCAGTAAAACCGAGGCAACACAGTCAGTTGGCACACCCCATTCAGAACCACAGAGCACCAATATTTCCTCTGACCTATGTAGGTGAGTTGCTGCATGGCATTCCAAAATGGACCACAGACGGAACAACAGCTACATTTCCAAGCATGATCTGCAGTAAGACAATCATCCAGAGATCACACATTGCAATCTGCCAGCTCAGAATGGTGATCAGTAATGGGTAATGGAAAAGAGAACATAGCTGTGTGTCCTGAGGCATGAGCAAACCCTTAATCAACAATCCATCCCTTTCAAGGGTAAACCATACTTGTTTTTAGCTCATGCGCTACCATTCGTCACAGGCCAGAAGGTTGCTTGACAGCAGCTGGCACAGGGCAATGATATACACTTTGAGATACCTAAATATGAAACAGAAATGTAACTGTCTAACACTGTGTTACACATTGCACTGAGTGCCCATGTACAACAACACAGCTTTGCCTTCTATTTCCACTGCTTCTACTTAGAGTTACACTGTGGCAGTTTAGCAGAGCTGGAGGCAGGGCTGCTTTAATCCCTACTCTGACTGTTCAGATGCTCCTCAGTAAACAGCTCTGGAACTTGGAGACACAAGAGCCATGCAAATACCTGTCCCACTTCCATCTGTACAGGGGCGTACTCAGGCACTGTAGTAGGAGGCAGCAGGTGTGGCAGTGACTGGGGAAGCTGTCAGAGTGGACACTTTGAACAGAGACCGCATCTTCATTGCTCCATCTTCCCTCTCAGGGCCCACTCACAATTCCCTGCTGCACTTCAGAGAGGCGAGATCATCCTCGATCTTCAAATAAGGGGCATCGTGACTGTGTAGGCCACTGAAAGGGGAACATGTACCTGAATGACTGATGTGTCTTCATCTTCTTCTGCTTTACTTCTGATGTGCCATGGAGGTGTCACTGTGTCCAAGGACACCGATATCAATCCAAAACGTCAAGGAATTCACACTAGAGAGGGAGTCCTCTAATCTCTCTCCAATAGTGTGTAGTGTAACTGGAAAGGCTGATAGGACCTCATGCATTTTTTTGTTATTGATCCAGAAAAGTCAACTTTGTTTTAGGCCCTTCAGCCTCAGCATCTGTACACAGCTCAAGGAAAACATGGAGGCTCCTGTAACTCCTCCACCCGACAACATGGACTCTCCACTGCTTTACCTGTCACTACTAACTCCTCCTGATCACTTGTCATGTTTGATTCACCGTGTGAGTAACTAACTACAAATCATTGGGGATCCCACTAGGTGGTGTGCATGGCGAATGGCCACTTCTGAGGAGTCTTCATCTTCTCCTGCAGCACCTCCTGAGAGACTCTTGAAGAACCTGTGGGCGTTGAAATACATGAATTAGAATTGACAGAGTGAGAGGGTGCTAAGTTATCACTTTGCACACGATCATATTTCATTGCCTGCTGACTTCATGACAACATGAATGAGCACTGTATGCAATTTGTCTGTGCAATATACAATACTCACCAGGTCAGCGGGAGGCTTCCAATCCTGGCATTCCAAGACACAGCCTATCTCCATCACTTCCTCTTCGTGGTGGAGATGACAGGAGG